CCGAGCTAGAGATCTGTCATATGTGCCAGTAAGTTAAGGACTGTAAGGATTTTGAGCAGGAATGTCAAATGCTTACAGAAATTATTAGTAAGTGAATATGGGGGACTAGAGCCTGAAACTCATAAGAGGAAACAAACAGGAAGAGGCAGAGAGGCTCCTAAGATTAGAACACAAAGGGAAGGAGATGTCTCAATTTGACCAGACTGGTGGTTAGCAAGGCAGAATTCCCTGTTGGTTAGTAATGTGCAGTCCTGTTCTGATATTAAAAGGACAAAGCTGACAGAAGGGCTGCAGGGCAGGAAGGCAGCTGTGGCAGGGAATACAAATGTGCTGATTCCTAACAACTTCCAACAGTTACAGCAATTTGCTTCAAGAGCACCCAGTCACTTGTGTGACACAGACAGGCACTTCCTTCAAGATATTTTCCATACAAGGAAGAAAACCGAATGATGATGTGGATAAACTGAGGCCAAGACAAAAAGGTTTTGAGGAAAAACAGTAAGTATGTAGAGGTGAGAAACATGAGAAACGTGGAGCTGGACAGTAGGTTTTGTGATGAAGTCTAAGCTACAGGACAGGACAGCTTCTAAATCTGGAAGTTCAAATTTATTTAGCCATGGGGGTTTTTTGTTCCAAATAGATCTTGGATACAATGATCCAGATTAGATTACTGTAATGCACTCTACAAGGTGCTGCACATTACAACTCCTTGGAAACTGAAGCTAGTATAGAATGCTTATTAAGCTCATTTTCATGCTAGGAGTATTACACCCACACTTCAGGATACACACTGACTGCCAAAATGTTTCCAGGTGGAATTTAAGAAAGATTGCCAACTCTCAAGCTAAAACTGAAGAGAATAAATTGGTTTTTGTGCAAAGCTGCAAAATTATCTTTTCTTCTGAGTTTTTTAAAGACTACTAAAAATGGTTACTACTGCAATGCCAATAGCATGGCAGCACTCAATCTCCATATATTTATTCACATAATAAAATCAGATACACCAACATAACCAGGGATCACATCATGACTCACTGTAACATGACCATGTGTATGGGCAGAGGAGAGTTAGAATCTTCCTACTGTTCGAGAAGTTTTCTTACAGCTTCACCAGAGATTAGGTAAAACAAGGACATACAAGGGCAAAAAAGGTCACCAATCTATGCCTCTCCCTAAACAGAAGAGCAAAAAGAGGGAATAAAGGCAAGAAAGGACTGGAAACTTGATTTTGCTCCCTAGCAGCAGCCAGAAGACCTAAACACATCCATTACATCTGAAAAAAAGGTGTTCAACTGGTTCCTTCAAGAGAAGTCAGAGAACCTACTCCTTTACTTCTCTAGAGCCATGCTGCCACATGCTGCCCATGGCAGGATATGAAATCAAGTAACAATTATAACAAAAACACAATCTTTAAAAGAAATGTCAATACCTGAATACAACAGCTCCTCATAAAAAGTAGGCTTATTTCAAGCAGGATGTGTGTATATATTTCTTCTGAGAAACTGGAGATACACCATTCTCTTTAAAAGGAGTACAGAAATATCTTGTTCTTTGTTACAAACATGTCCTCCAGCACACATGTACATACTTTTACAGACATATATAACATCATGAAGCTATTTCTCTATAGAAATGTAGCATGCAAATTAGAAAACTCAGTATTATCTATAGAAATTAGAAAAGTTTCAAGATAAACACTGTATGTTCAACTATACCTCTCCAGAAGTTGTGAGAAAACTTTCAAAACTCCTCCCTAGCATTCACTAAATTAACTGGTGTTTATGTTACAATATGCACAACTTCCTGGTCACCTTACAAAATTAAAAATCTCCTCAGATGATCTGCAAGGTTATTATTCTTTTCAGTTTATTCTGTTCTTTTAAGCCACATGTTGGTTTATAGCCATCAAAACCCACATATCTAGATTTTGTGTGTAATACTGAATGGGAAATGCAGGTTTCTACAGCACATGGCACTCAAGTAGCTGCACAAATGAATGCCATACAGAATGGTAAATACAAACAGAAAGGAAAGAAAAAATAAAACCCATGATTAAAAAATGTAAGATAAAGCAATGACCAAAGTTCACTCATGATTATCTTTGTCTGTGTTGTTCTCAAAGGTTATTTCAGCAAGGATTTTGCTATGGATCTCCTATTTGCTTGCTTTGCAAGTAAACATATGCTGGGCTAATTGTTCACAGAGTGTGGAAACTTAGGGAGCACTTCAGGAGAACACCTATTCCAAGTCCAACACGAGGTGAAATAAAGCTATATTCATCTAACCTGTTCTTAAAAATCTTCAAGAAAAGACCTTCCATTACATGTATATGAAAGAATGTCCACAGTTTGTTTCCACTTACAGATTCATTAGACTCAAAGTGAAAAAGTTTTCTTTTTAATAACTAACCTAGTTATTCTTGGCAAAATTAAATTTACTGCTCCTACTCTTTCTCCACTGGGCACTGGAATACAATTGATCATCGTCTCCTTTATAACAACATTTTATGTATTAGAAGACTTATGTCTCCCTTTTGGTTCTTTCTAGACTAAACAAACCATGTTCTTTAAGCCTTCCTCACAGGTCATGTTCTCTAAAACTCCTATCATTCTTGTTGCTCTCCTTATGTCCCTTTCTAATTTGTCTGTGTTCCTTAAAGCATGGTGATCAAAACTGTATACAGCTTTTCAGATGAGGTCTCACCAGTGCTCAAAGGAACAAAATAATTGCTTCCTGCTTCTTTTCCAGCATTATACCTATCCCCGAATTAGATCCAAATTCATTGCAACAGTATTCCACTGTGCAGTTTAGATTCCTTTTTCCATGCTATTACCTCATCAGTGCATGTGACTTCTCCCTTGTAAAGGGACTTGTCTTTACAAAATTTCAAATTACTGATTCTAGATTTTCTCCAGTTTATCATGACTGGAGGAACTTTTTGAGAGTTTGACTGCTTCTACTATGCTTGGAGCTTCTTACAGCTTGATTCAAGATCAACAATATTAATGGTTTTTCTATTTCATCACTGAAATAATCTCTAAAACAATACTCCATGGAAGCAAATAAAGGACAGATCTCTTTGGAATCCTTCTGTAACTGGCCCCTCTGTCTGACAACGAGCAACAGAAAATTTGTCTGTGGCACATTGTTTGTATCAGTTGCTCACTCATATCATGATGATTTCATAATTATTTAAATAAAAATATTTTTTACAGTTACAGCTTTCATTACTGTAATTCCTTTCACATTACTTGTTAATTATATTACAAAATTATGTATTTATTTGTATATTACAAATATATGGTGCGACAGTGTTAAAGGCATTATGAATTTAAAGTATGTCACAGCTACCACTTTCTTCTTTAGCCACAAAACCTTATCAAAGGAAATTACATTTGCTTGACATAACTCTCCTTGACAAATAGAAGCATAATAAATAGAGGATGGGAATGCTAGACCTGCATTCTGTTTTAGAGAGTGGTCCAAAACCGTCACCTGGGAAAAGTGCAAGAATAAAGTGAGTAGTGATAAATGACCTCTTATCTTAAAGAACGTAAGGCAAAGAAATAGTTTATCTGGTCTAGGATAGGAAGCACCAGTTGATGATGATGAAAACAGGGTAAGGACCAAGCAAGTATAAAGTGGGCTGATATCCACTGAGATGGACAGATAGATAAGGTCACACAGTCTGATACACACATCAAGCTACTGAAAATGAACAGTAAAGAGATTACTGGCTTTAATCATTGATTCAATGATTAAAAATAATTTGTTCCATAACTTTCCAGGGTCTAAAATGAAGCGATTCATAAATCCCCATATGTTTTATTTATAAAGATGAGAAGAGTTTTGCCTTCTTTGAGGCTCCAAGGATCTCCTATATCCTGCATGAGATAGTTCAGTATAATCCTAAATAATTCAGAGTAAAACTGAGTACTAGTAAAATAGCTAGTATTGTATGTGCTCTATCTTTAATCATGTACCTATTTCCATCATTCATATAATGCCTTTATGTTCTTGAAGATGTTCTGATACAGACTTTCATGATGCTTCTTATCCATTCTTTTCCCTGATTAACCTGTTACCATGCATTGAAAAAGACCTTCTTGACTAAATGTTTGTTCTCTTATATCGTCTTGTCCCTCAAGTTTTTTTCACAGGTTCAGATTTCTTGAAGTAGTTGAAACCAGTGTCTGGCTTTCAGTAACACTGTAGTGGTTGTTACGTGTTTTTTCACTTCTCTTCATTCTGTTTTTTCATTCTATTCCTTGCATAAAGTCAAAACTTTTTTTAATTCACAGACATTTCCAGATAACTTTTCCTTCTTTTATAAACTCAGCCAACTTATCTTTGTTAATCATAAAAAGAACTAAACCAAGACAGTAAGTCCTTAATACCCTTCTCCCCTTTCTGACAGAAAAATTTTTCTTAGAATGTTCCAAGAATTCAAACGATTCTGTGTTGTGTTGTTCAGGTTTTGGGGTTGTTTTTTATTTTTGAGTTGCTATCCAAGAAATTGAGTTTTCTCATTCCTACCAGTTTCTGTCTTCAGTACAATTCTATTGGTCATTCTAAAAAAAAGCATCTTTAGCTTCTTTGCTTCCTATTTCCAATTAAGTAGTCTATCATACATTCCCATTATAACTTCATCAACATTTTTCCCTTTTACTTCTACCCAGACATTATGAACTTATAACCTATTTTAGTATCAAACAATGACTTTTCATATAAAAGCAATGCTTAATTTTTCTTCAGGGTTCTCCATCTGAAAATTAGTTACTTGTGTATATAGACTGTTTTTCCTAGTGCAGATAAATAAGGCACCAGACAAAAAGCCAAAACTTCAAACTATTTCAGGGATGTAAATAAATACCAGAGCTATTAGTTTCAGTTCAAAGAACACATCACTTGCTTATTAATTCTTTGGAAAATTTATTTTATCTTGAGAGAGCAAAATAACAAAATTATAAAACCGAAAAGTGAAAAACGAGGTGACCAACCTGATCTGGAGAGGGTCTGTGGTTGGAGTGTTGTGGCCTCCCAGGAGATCGATGATGGTGGTGGTGGTGATGGTGGTGGTAGTGGTGATGGTCATCATCATAGTTATCTGCCATCAGTTTCATTCTGTTTTGTGTCTGTTTAAGATGTAAAGTAAGACAATTCTATTACATATTGGAACATATTATTCTAACGGGAGTCAGAGTTTTAGGAAGATCTTGGCTCTCCTTTTTTTTAAAAGTCCAGACTGCTGGCTCACAAAGAATAGGGAACAGAAATAGAAAAATAAAGTATGTGAATACATCCTCTCTTTCAGCTTTTACATCTGTAGAATTGCATAAAAAATTCAGAAAAGTAAACGATCAAGGATGTTGCATCTGAAGCATGAAAAACATTCAGATTTTCTAAATTTATTTAGAACAGTTTCCAATTTTTTGCAGTCTAATATTATGTCTTAGCAATTAACATTTTAAATCTCACTGAAAGGAATATTAAGTGTACTTCAAATATTTACAGTTAGCTTGTGTACAACAATCATAAACAGTTATGCTAGAAGTTCTACTTTGGCTTACTTATTTTAATTGTACACCAGGAGCACCCCGCTAAACTGTAAGTAAAAGGAATCTGAAAACTAACTGATAGACACACAGGCACTCAGAGAAATGACACATTACTGAATGGAAGTAAGTCTTAGATACAGATCTTGAAAAAGAGATCAACACTTCAGCTACAGTTGTGTACAGATAATAAAATCTATGTCACTATGAGATAACAAGATACATCGCTGCTCTTTATCACTGTTACAATTATTCCATACCATGAAATACATGGACCAGAATAATTCAAACCTTGCTCATAACACCAAAAATATCTTACTACCAATTGTCTGATACCAGTGGATACAGTCCTTATTTTTTTGTGTTAGTAGGACTGAAGACTGTCACAGGCAAACCTATTAAACTGCAATCAAGTTTTACTTAATTTTGCACTAACGAAGCCCAGAAGAAAATGCTGTCAACTCTCAAAAACCTCTTCCAAAATAAAAACAATCAACTGGAGACATATACAATTATTATCACACAGTTAACTGAAGGAAAGATAGCAATATTAACACACTTCATGTCATGCACGATGTACAGAAACCCGGATGAGGATGCTGGTTAAATACACTAGCCCAGGACTTTGCTCAAACTAATGATTCTTAAGCAGATTAATTTAAATACAACTCATTTGTTTGGGTATGTTCCTTTATTAACAGGTCTAACTGGCTCTCAATTCAAAGTGCCCATGAGATACCTAGTGTCCCATAGCTAGTATCTGGTAAATTTACTTCCAGGACTACTGTAATTTGATTTTCCTATGAGAACAATCCTATATCAAATCTCTGTTTGGAAAATGTCACTGGTAGGTATATTTTAATAGAAATGTAAAACTCAGCGATTGCTAGTAAATTTCCCAATTTTAATGTTTTTTGCTAAAGTTGAAAAGGTATTTGGGAAAAAAAAGGCAAACTAAATATTCCTATTACATAATATTTGCACTTAACTAAATCTAATGCAAGGAAAACTATTAACCACAGAATCACAGGAAATGTGTCTTTTTAGCAATTAATTTTTTTCCAGTTGTCACAATGCTTCTCAAGCACTTCATGTGACGTCCATTAGAAGGATCACAGAATACTACTTTACAGAGGGGATCAGTACTCAGTTCAAGTAGAAACAAACCCACCAACCCCAAACCAAATCCTTAAGGCATCCACAACAACAAGATACAGAAAAAATCACGGATCAGATGTGCACCATCGGAATTTCTGAGCATCCCCATAGCACTGGAACAACATGTTCTCAGTGTGCTACAGAACAAGAGGAATCTGCACAGTTCATTTTCTCCCCCCCAAACAAGAAGATGGAAGCATACAGCTGTATGAATTTCAGCTATGACTTTCTATCAGTATTTCTAAAAAGACCATCTCAATCTGAACCATCATAGCTGGTCTTTTTGTCTTTAGATTGAAAGAGGAAGGCCTTTTGAACAAAAGAGTGGAAAAGATGGAGAATTAATAGACAAATAATAAGCCACTTACTGTAAACACTGTAATAGCCTGCCTCTTTAGGGAAGCTCCTAACATTTTATTAGTTTATTTTCTTATCAATGAACAGCCTTAAATTTCCTACCTTTCAACTGTATTCCATAAAAGAATGCAAAAGTTAAACAAGATGATATATGCAATCCTAAAAGTGTCCTCTGTAATGAGGTGTTGGGGATTAGACGTGTCATGGGATAAGAACTGTAAATGAATGATGTCATCTTTCTAATTTGGTGCTGAAATATAAATAAACTACTTCTAATGTTTCTTCCTTTTGGATGCCAGATTGCAGTAAAATGTGCACAAAGAAATGTTAATGCTCTAGTAGCCCTCTTTTAGTCTGTCTGTTCTGGAAGCAAAATATATGAGAAATGTGAAATGAGAACTTCTTTTCCACCCAAATGACCATTGAACCATCCAAACTTTTACAAGACTTGTAACTGTCATTAATTTCTTAAAATTATTCTAAATACTTCCCAAAATATTATTTTTTAAAGCTTTTTGGTTTTATTTGTTAGCTCTTCACAATGATAACAAAAACGATTTTGAGGTTCTGTTTGCCTTTGCTTCAGCTACTGCCAGAGCACTGTACTTCCACACTGAACTGCATTTTCAAGGCATGCTTAGCTTTGACCTAAGAAGTACAAACATGATATGATTTCAAACTTTTAAAAGCAGGACTTTTGAAGAGGATGCACAGGAGGATTTCTGGAAGAAGAACAAAAATAAAACCGTTCTGAGGAACAATACAATCCTTATCACATCCTCCTAAACAAAAATCTGTAACATTACTTCTGTTTGCTCCCCTTGCTAACTTTTAATCTTTAGTAGGCTTTGAAATGCCAGTTATATTTTTATTTGAGGAAGAAATTAATTAACCACATTGGAATTTGTTCAGGACCCCAGGACTTCACACCCCTACACCTACATACAAGCACATACATAAACACACAGAAAGGTGCTTTATCAGAGAGACAGTAAATCCCCATGGTCTGGGTCTACATCAACACACTCAGGGAGTGCCTCAGTACTGACAACAATATCTAATATTCCATATGACTTTTCTGGATGGTCTGGAAACTGGGTTCTCAAAATACACAATTAATGAAAATTAGAGTGATGATCGTACATGCATTTAAACTGCACAGTATCTAATGTGCCTCACCTGCCACCCTGCACTCCTAATCTGAAATAGTTATAGGTCAAACTTTTATTCACATTTTCCTTTCAAACTCGAAAACAGGGTTTCCCAGAATTTACATACCTACACCTCTGACAACGATTTTTTTTTTTGAAAATGCCTGGTGAACAACAGGCCCACACCTGAGAAGGAGCAGGTTTTAATTTCGATTTATACTAGAGAAGAAAAACATGTTAACTTGTAAAATGCAACAATTAATTAACTGCATCTCCTACAGACCATGTATAGCCTTGTTAGTTCAAGCTTAAACAATGTCCTCAGATTTTTCTCCTTTAAATTTATTGACTACATTCAATAAATACTGCATCCATTTTGAAATAAAGGAATGATCAAGGAATTAAAAGCAGCTTAAATGTAGGTGCACAGGTATATTAACCCTTAGGGTTTGAAACAGTCGTCTTTGATCATTCAATATCACTATTTGCTAAGCTGTCAAGGTCATGAATGGTATGTGTAACTGAATTTTTAACCCACTTACCAAAGAATTTATGATCTAGCACTGTAAGAAAACTGACAGATATTTCTTGTCCTCCTAAAATTCTGTTGAGTTTAAGTAAGGATATACCGAAGTGAAATGAAAGTCTTTGATTGACTGGTAACAGACTAAATAGCTTAACAGCAATCTGTAACTGTAAAACTATAATATTAAAACTGTCTTTTAAAAAATATTTTAGCAAGGTGGCAATAGGGAACTATGCTTTGATCTGTCATCTGGATCAAGTTAACAACAAAACTCTCATGAACGAGGTTCAAATGAGGAAAAATAGTAAGATCTGTTGCTCTGGGATATAGGTGTAATACAATTCAATAGCTATTACTTTCCTTTGGATTTTCTTCTCAATCTCTCTTCACTAAATGGAATTTGAAATATTTCTAGAATATTCACTTTCAATAGAGTAGGATTTTTCCCTACATAACTGGAGAAGGAGGCCTGCAAGCTATCCTGGAGCTATCCTGAGGTCTAATTGTTAAAGCACAGAATTTAAAATCTGGATCCCCACCTTCTGCAATTGATTCTGCAATTGCCTCTTTTGTTCAATGACACAGAAAGTCTGTGTCTTGCAATCTCACTGTTTGAAAATAAACGCTCTACCCTTTCCACAAAACACTCTGAGCTTTTCTTTCTCCTAAGACAATATCTTAGAAAACATAAAAAGGTAATTGTTTAAAAAACTGTGTGTTTCACATATAGTGAAACACTATATAGTTCAACAAGTTTATCCAGAAGTTGCATAAATTTAGTGAGTTAACCTGGATTTAATGAAAACATGTGCAACTGCAATTGGTTTTCCAGTATGAATCCAGTGCTTCAGGCTTGAATTCCATTAACTGAGAGTTAACAAAATGTTTGCCAACTAAGTCAGCTCTGTACTTACTCTCTACAAATAAAATCAATTTTCATGTTAGAACAATATTTTTACACATTCTTAGAAAACTGTTATCATCGGAAGACAAGGGAAGAATTTCTTATAATTTCTACTGCTGCATCTCGAGTTTATAGAGATACCTGCACCCCACATAAGTGATTTGATAATAAGCCAAATAGTGAGATTAATTTGCCACCTAGAGAAGAGACTTAAGAGAGATTCCTCCACAAAGTTCCAGTTTAAATTTTTTTTAACTTCTTGATATACTTAGGGATTTTGGGGCACTGGTTCACTAATTACCTAGCTGAAGTAGAAAGGAATATTCTAAGGCTGTTATTGTTAAAAAGCCAAACCTTGAGACTGCTCTCTTTTTAATGGGAGCACACTTCTTGAGACAAATTTTTAAAACATACCCAACAAGTATGGTTTTGACAGAAGTGTTGTTTTTCCACAAGCCAAAAGATCTGTTAATCAGTCATTGCT